TCATGAGACTGGATGATCCTACTGTACGTTCGACTTACAGGGAGCAAAACCAAGTAGCAGATCTGTTAACAAAGTCTGGATGCAACATGGACACCACAACCGACATCACTGGTTTTGTACTGCCTCCACCCTTTATCCAAACAACTTTGGAAGACGATCGCTCAGGCACAATTTTTGTCAGAAGGGTTCCCTCACAAACCCTACAACAGTCACTCAGTTTGCAACGTCCTCTAAGACCATCTTTTTGTATCTCCCGTGACACGTGAACCACTAGTAGTTGCTTTAGTTATCCCTAAACCCCCCATGTAATGACCCAGTAAGTGGTCAACCCCTTAGGTCAGTGTCGTCGTGTTTACATGCTCCCTGTACTCATCCCCTTAATATAATATAAAAAGTTATCTTTTGAACCAAAAGAAAAAAAAAAATTATACATCAACCGACTATTTTTAGTTTAAACGGTTGGATAAACGCCTGTTTAGGTTAATTCTTCAAAAAAGAAATACCTCAAAAACTTGTGTCTTTGAAATTGAACTTACTCGAGTAATGACACAAGCAATGCTACATGTAAGTGACATTAAGAATAACATCACTTTATTTAAGAGTTTTCGAAAGATAATTTTATTTTTACCAAATACGTAAAACTTCGAATCATCTTACTAAGTAATTTGTGATTACTTCCTATTCATATTTCGAAAAATATTTATTATCCTTTTCTTTAATCAAAAGCATGAATAACGATTTTCAAAACATATTTATCCTTTTTTGAATTTCAATAAGTAAATACTTATGAATATACCTGAGAAGTATAAAAAATTTCATTTTCAAATATCTATATCTATACTATATTAAAAGCACGAAGGCCCTTAACAAAATGTCGTTTGCCTTTTTTACCCTCAAAAAATAGAGTTTACATTAGACAAAAAAGTCTTTTAGTTATTTTTCTAATATTTAGCAACTATAATCTTTACTATTAAATCTATTTACTTATTTAAATTATGTAAGAATTCTAAATATTTAAGAATTTGAAATCAACTAAACTTTTCCATATTAAACTTTTACTTATTCCAACTATGCACAAACACGCTTTCCCTTAAGTATTCTCATACCAAATAGGAATTTTTTACTCTTTCTTCTTGAAGGCCGTTTTCATTTGAAATGCTTGGACTAAAATAAATTAAAAGATAAATTAAAATTAAAGAATTTATTTAATAACCAATAAAAGAAAGTAGACATTACTTTTCGATTGAAAGGAACATATTTTACTCCATAATAGTATGAAGGTTTACGTTTATTTTTTTTAAGTATAATAATCAAGTAACATGATATCTTATTTATTGAATCCAAACATACGATATATTACTTTTAATCATGTAAATTCAATCAACATATTATCACAGTTTGAAGACGTGCATACCGAAATTTGTTTTCAACTGTTTTCTTACTTATCTCTTAATTAAAATTAAGAAAATAATTTAAGAGGAAGAAGTTTGGCATTTTGATACCAAATATTCAAATGTGATAAAACATTAGAATAATTGCGGTATTTTTTTTTTAATATCTATAACTTTCAAATAATAAAATTTTATTTATTATGTCTTTTCTTACTCAAACTATGTAGGATATTATAATATTTAAAATTCCAAAGTCAATTAAAAGTTTACCTTACTAAATTATTCTCTTTAATTTGTAACAATAAATTTTTGACAAATATTTGTATCAACATTACGATTGTGACAACGCCAATTCAAGTTATAAAAGAGAACATTAATCTACTTTTTAATTAAGTAAGATTCAATCAGTTGAACTCAAGTACCATGTCAGTATAATATTACTAACAAATAATTTTAATTAATTAACTGTAATTTTATATCGTAACTCAATAAAATATCTTAAAATATGTATACATAGAAATAAATATTTTAAAAACTATTGTAATGATTATATGTTCCATCAAAACTCCATAAAATATTAATAAACTTTTATACCTTTTGAGAATTATATTTCACTACAAAATACTTCATGTTAGATAAAATAGTAATCAACGTTAATTCTCTACCTTAATCTTTTTGACAATCATTGTTTTCTTTTAAGAAAAAACTTAGTTAGATATAGACATTACCTATCCAATTGAATTTTTTGGTACGATAACTAAATCTAATAATATATCTCGTTGTTTTCCGTATTTTTCAATTTGAGTTTCACTAGAAATAAGATGAAATTCATACTATTACGTATTTAAACTAACATAATTAGTTTTTAAGAGCATGGTGAATATAGTATTGTTGCAATAATATTTGAATACAAGTCGACATATTATTCAACTACTAAAGCAAATGCATAACTCATATTGTTAAAGTTATGATAAGACATTGAAATACTCTTACATGACATACTTTTTTTTATTACGTCGGGTAAATATGATAATATTTATCTTTTTTAAGAGCTTGCTATTTTTAAAAAAATTATTTTATAATTCAGTCACATAGTTTAACAATATTTATGTGATTTTAAAATTCATTTACATTGGACAAAATAGTAATATTATTATTTTCCTAATATATAGGATTCTAAGATCCTATAATTTTAGTTATTAAATCTTTCCTTGTTTGAATTATGTAAGAACGAATTCCTAATATATAGGAACTTGTATGTGAATCTTACCTTATATAAATTAGTAAAAAATATATTAACCCACAAAATCGTATATTTAATGCAAAAGCATTATAACAATGAATCACAAGAATTTCTTAAAATTTATATCTAAATAATAAGGTTTAAAGCATATCGGCCACCTTGACATGGTAATATATTTATTCCGACCTTGATATGGTAATGGAATTCACCATTTTCTACTTTGAAACTGTCTTTAAGCACAATTTCACGATTTTTAAAAATTAAATTATTAAACAATTTAAACTAGATCTCTTCAATTACAGTTCAATATTTTTCTTTCATCAATATAATATCTGATTAAATTAACATATTAAGTTATGTACGAGTCGATATTGTTATATTTATCTAACATTGTCTTCTAAAATGAACTTAAGAATATACAATTTTCCAAAAAACAAAATCTTAAATGTTTAATAATTATAGTTTCTTGCTTAAACTTTAAAAGAAGCATGATAACTTGTGAAATGAAGTAATTACATTATAACTGGAATCAATTTTATGTTATATATTTACGAAGATGATTGAACACTTATAGAATAGATTTTCTTCTTCTTATTGAATAACTAAATAGGATAAATAATTATCATTTAAGGAACTTAATTATACTTTTTAATTATTTTATAACTAAATTACAAGTTTTAATGTAATATTTTTATATTCTTATAAAAATAAATTTTATTTGAACAGTGTAGAAAGTTTTAGCATTCACAATACTTTAAATAATTAAATTTTAATACCTTATATAATTATTTTCATATTTGAACGACACATAATTGTAATCCCTTTCATGTTATAATTAAATATCGAAAACTTGGAATGAGCTAATATTAAGAATTTGAATCAACAAAAAATAAATTAGTTCTTTTAATGTCAAGGACAAATAGTTAAGTCAAAAAATCCAATTCAATTATTTGTTAAATTCATCGTATAATTAAAATTATTTTTCAAGTTGACAAAACTCTTAGGATGCCTAAATTTGTTTGCATAAGAATAGTATTTGGGATGAAAAAAATAAAATAAGATAGAAAAATTAACATGGAAATTTGTATGGATAAGCCTTTTCAACTAAAACTATATACTATATTTTAAGGAGTATAAAATAATTTTTATTTTATAATACAAGCATACTATATTTAATAATCTATATTATATTAAAAGCACGAAGGCCCTTAGCGAAATGTCGTTCGCCTTTTTTATCCTTCAAAAATAGAGTTCACGCTGGATATAATAATCGTTTAATTATTTTTATAATATTTAGAAATAGACTTAATTATTTTCCTACTATTTTAGCAATAGTCATTTAGTTACTTTCCTAATATACAAGACGTTAAAATTAACTAAAATTTTAGTTATTAAACATTTTCCTATTTGAACATCCTAGGAAATCCTAACATTTAGGACTAAAATCAACTAAATATCTAGAAATTTATTTGACGTCAACTACAAGAAGAATAAGACAATTAAATCCCAATTGAATTCAGTTCCACATTACAATTGTGATACTTCTTCCTATCAAATTCGAAAGACGAAATTCAGGTGATTATTGAATTCTTAATTAGGGAATAGATATGAAGCAAACAGAGGTTAACACTATAAGTAGTTACCAAAAAAAGAACTAAATATAACATTATATTATAATAATTTCAAAAATATAATTAATAAAAAGAATTTAAATTTAATATATAGATATGTGTGTGCATATACAATATTATTTCAGATTTATAACATTTAATGATATCATATTTTTAATAGAAAAATTGGTAATAGCTTTAAATAAATATGATCATCACTGAAGCCTAGATGATTACAATACACTGGAGAGGAACTCAAAAAGATTTTGGTAATTTTTTCATTTTGCTATAAATTGGTGAAGTTAATATTTCTAACATTTGTTGATACAATATTTTAACAGGAAAATTGTTGACAATTTTAAATAAATTAATCAAAAAGGTGGCATTCATGCAATTTTAGTGAAATTCAGTAATATGTGAATAATATAGTAAAGAATTTGGGAATTTTTTTAGGTAAATTCTTTTTTTTTTTTTTTGTTGAGTTAGTTAAATAATATTATCATGTTCATGGACTTGATTATTTCTACTAATTTCTTTTATAACTCAAGATATTATTTAATAATCGTTATGTTATTTTAAAAAAGTTAATATACATTAAATAAAAGCACACGCGCAACGCGCATACAATAAGACTAGTAGAGAATATATTCAAACAAAATCATATTATAGGATTATTTTTAGTGTAATTCACCCTAAATTAAATTAGTATAATTTGCTGCATACTGGGCTAAGTTTTATCCCTAACTATATTAATTAATTAATGGCGGACATCTCCACCTAACATAAACTGACCGCAGCGAAGTGAATTGAAGTATTGAACTGAAACTGGACTTGTCAATTCAGTATCTACCAATGGATCTGAATTATCTATTCAACTCCCTTTCTCCCTCATGGACTTCGGTCAGCATTTTCTTTTCTCTCTTGTCTCTATTTCATATATGTGTAAGTATCTTTTACTGATTTTGTTCCTTTTATTGAATGTAGGCTGCTATGTTACTCTCATTTTTTCTTTATTTAGCTACCGTTGGATCTATTTTACCCGGAAAACTTGTTCCTGGGGTGACTTTATCTGATGGAACTCGCCTCCATTACCGTTGCAATGGTAACCCATGTCTTTGTTTTTTCTATATAATGTGCATTGGTCTATATTTTCATGTTGGATTTAAGTTATTTGGCGGAGCCATGATTTTAAGATTATGGGTTCGAGATTCTAGTCTTTTTAAGTTAGTGGATACTAAATTAATAATTATTATATATTCAATAAATTTCTGAAGTCAAATGCATGATTTTGACCAAAGTTATTGGGTTAGACTGAACCAATAACTAGTATTCTAGCTCCGCCCAGCACAGACATGGTTATGATTTTTTTTACGCCATCAATGTAATTTGAATTGTTATAGTAGGTTATTCAACATTTATTCTAGGTTACTAATCACAATGGCAGATGTATGCTATGGGTATGGATGCTCAAGCACACATTACTTTTGGAGCCACACACAGTTATTTATATAGAAAACTAATAATTCATAAAAATATGTTACTTGAGCACCCAGTCTCAGCATTAATTTTCAGATAAAAAATAGTTGATCACCCGTGATATAAAAATTATGGGTCCGCCATTGACTAATCAATGCTATTAAATAGAGTTACCTGCCATTAACTTAATGTGACCTGATTGTGTAAAATATTTTTTTAATGTTAGTGCATAGAGCTTAAACTTCTTTCATATTTCTCTATTTGCGCCAAGCTCATATTGTAAATTTACTCCTTTTTTTCCCCAGGTTTGTTATCACTTCTGTTGTTTGTTTTGCTTCTTGGAGTTGGGGCACAGATGAATCTTGTTTCACCTACTGTGAGTGTGAATTGTTTTTATGTAGCAAAGGATTATACATTTTGGTAGATTATGTAATTGTATCACTAGTTGCTATTTGGTTCATTTGCATTTCCTGTTCATAATTTTGTTTGCCCAAATGTTGTTTGCAAAAAAGATTCTTATAGGAAAGCAAGGAACAATTTCTTGCCACACTCTGTGTTGTATTGATGAGATAGAGAATTTATATTCCGTGTTTCTCAATCATCTCAACTCAGGTGGAACAAACTTCTATGTAGTTCCGTCTTCGTTGTATGCATGAGGTGCAGAGATTGAGCAGCTGTTTATGTCCCCGTGAACTTATTGTCCTTGTAATATCATTGAATTTGGGAACTGGGGTTATAATATCAGTGGAAGAAGAAATAATTGTAAACATTATATGGCTTTCTCATTTCAATTTAAAGGCTTCAACAGTAATGCTGTTTCTACTTCCAACTTCTGCAAAATCTATCTTTGGTTTTGCTCCTTCTTTTTCAGAAATCATACTTTTAAATTGTTTTTGTTTTCTGTTGTTATCAATCTGATTTATCTTCGTTATCCCTGGAGAATAACCTGGCTAATTACAAAAAGTGAAATAGATAGGACAAATTTTGCTTTTGATGTGATTGCACGAATTGATTAATTATATAGCACCTTATCTGGCTCCAAAAATTGCTTCGCTCATGCTGCATCTTCAGACGTTGCTGAATACATGAGAAGGTCCATACTGTTGTATGTTTGGGCTACTGGAATGCATTTCTAAGGTTTCTGTTTTCGATATACTCATAAAGAGATGATGAAATCACCTATTCATTACGCATTGCAGGCAATAGCAGACAGAGGGCTTGAGCTTTTGTCCACAACATTTATCTTTAGTGTTCTTGTAAGTGTGAACATTCTCATACCTTGTAATTATTAAGCTATTATCATGCCATTTTTTCTGATTAAGTTCCGAAAATCTGGGATCTCCTATGAGTAATTGAAACCCCATCCTCCAAACCCGAGGGAAAGACTGCAGGTTAGAGAAGTTTAGTGGATGATGGTAGTCACTCTTATTTGCGAACTTGAGAGTAGAAATCCATTTACCTCTTTCTGGAGTGAGGAGGCGACCTTGAAGAGACTAAGACAATGTCTGACATTGACCTTATTGAATTACAATTTGTTAGCTGCAAGTGCCAATTCTTGTTTTATATACGGACTTGTGCCTGCTTGCGACGTCTTTTATGCTACCTTGGGAATTTCTCTAATAATAGCTGTCATATAGGGCAATGTATTTGGAGTGAGGAGGCGACCTTGAAGAGACTAAGACAATGTCTGACATTGACCTTATTGAATTACAATGACAATTTGTTAGCTGCAAGTGCCGTTTACCTCTTTCTGGAGTGAGGAGGCGACCTTGAAGAGACTAAGACAATGTCTGACATTGACCTTATTGAATTGCAATTTGTTAGCTGCAAGTGCCAATTCTTGTTTTATATACGGACTTGTGCCTGCTTGCGACGTCTTTTATGCTACCTTGGGAATTTGTCTCTAATAATAGCTGTCATATAGGGCAATGTATTTGGAGATTGATATGCAAGTGAATTGAAAATAACAAAAAGCTCATGCTAAACTCTTAGCTACTAGCTCAAATATAATTTCCTCAAATTTTGGTATTTGTTTTACCGTAGACATTTTCTTGGAAGTTACTCTTCTTACGTCACGTTTCAACAACTTGGGGAAAAATATAGGTGTGTTTTGAAGTTTGTCAAATAATGGATCTATGACCCATACTTACCAATACCACAAGAAAGTAATATGATAAAATAAAATAAATTCTTGGTTATGCTTTTATTGATGCAAAATTTCTTGATTTGCAAAAATTTCCAGCCAGTTACAAGTTTGTTTCTGACATCTTATTTTTATCCTACGGCTGAACGATATTTAGGTGACATTGTTGCTTTATTTGGCTGGCTGCAACTCACGTGAGAAGAGTTCGTCACTGAAACCTCATGTCTCAGGAAATCTAATTGATGACTGGTAACTCGATTGGCTTTATGCTGAAGTTTATACTCTGAAAAGTTCTTAACATTAATAAAACTGTAATATCATTCTTTATTGAACTGTCTTTCCATTCATCCTTTCATCTATCCCGTGTAAGTTTTAAGCATATTTAGTGTCCAATGACACACTTTCCTTAGTTTCTCTCATAGTCAAATCAAAAATGGAAAATCAATATCCCTCTCCCTACTTCTCATCCTCTTTCTTTTATTCTATGTGGTCTTCCTTGCCAATTAAAGTTATACGAGTCATCAGAAGTTGTAAAGTTTTGCAACTTGTTCATGAAGTCGATCCCCTCTAATGTGCTTATGAATGACATCTTACCTAGAAAGTGGCATTTGAAAAAGACGAAAAGAAAAATAAGAAAAGGATATAGCTCATGCTTCTTGTGGGTTATTTCAATCAGTTAGTGAGTTGTGCTGTTGCTGCTTCTGAGTAATCTTGTGTACACTTTTAAATAAGTCTTCCTCCTCTTCTGAAGGCCAACAATGATTTCTATGGATAAGTTCTTTAATTTCTGGCTATGACCTGATATAGAATCTCTCTTTCTTTGTATAATGCTCTTTTATCCTCCTCCTTTTGTCAGCAATTACTTTAGTTAATGTTGAGAGATGAAACACCAGCGTAATGATAATAATCAGTAACACTAACCAAGCTTGCAAGTACTAAAGAAGGAAAATGTCTACAATTGCTTCTGAGTTAAATATGATCTTTCAAAGTGACATGGATTCTGTAGCAATTAATGATCTTGTAGTTTGTCACCACATTGGAGCAGGATACGTATGTTGTGCTTTACTTATAAAAAAGGAAGTGCACTATGTTCAGATTCTGTTGATCTCGTTGTAATGAATAAGATCCTGATATTTCTTCTATCCTCTTTCTTTGACTAGGTGGTTTGGGATACAACTAAATCCAAATTTCATTGGCATTGATCTCAAGTATGTTCTCATACCTCAGACCTTGTCTTTCACAATTGTGACAAGTGACCAGATCGTGAATTAAAAGCTTGTCATGCTATAATTGGATTATTTAGTTTATACTTTTGTTGGATAGGCTCTCTAGTAACTTTGCCTAAAACAATTCATGTTAATGTCCAATCCATTGGCAGTCATCTCAGCAATAGTGTGTTCTGAAATTTGCATATCTTATTTAATTTAGCACTAAGAACAATCTTTTTCTTGCTATCTGAGTGGAAGAAAATGTAGAGAACCTAGTGGTAGAGAGTTCTTAATTTGTTTGGAGAGAATTGTTGATGATTGGGATGAAACGGGTCCAAATAGAATGAAATGGATTTTGATGATTCATATAGCCGATTCCCAACTAGTCTGGGGTTGATGTATAGTAATTTGCTTCTGACCCAAGTAAAATAATACTTGACATGAAAAACTTATTTCTGATCAGTTGGAACTTGTCAATTTCCAGGAACCTTAAATCATAGTTAAAGTCCTCGTCAAAGAGATTCTGAGAGGCCCAAATATTTATTTTGTTTGTTATAATGACTGTAAGCTACAATATCAAGTCTATTTGGTTCTCTCTTTTGGCTTCTCTGCTTAATGATGAACTTTCTGCTGCAGATTTTTCTTTGTTAGAGCTGGTATGATGGGATGGTTACTTATCAATCTTTCAGTTCTTGCAAAATGTATTCTAGAGGCCAAATTGAGCCAATCAATGATTCTCTACCAGCTATTTTGTGGGGTAAGTTGGTGGATGTACACTTCCAAGTCTGGCTTCTTGAGTATATGCTTGTGATATTTAAAACTTCTTTCCTATGCATTTGATTGCAGCTGTACATCCTTGATTACTTCTTCTATGAAGAGTTCATGACCTCCACGTAAGTTGGCAGCCTTCTTCTCCCATAACTTTTTTAAGATAGAAAAGTTGCGTTAAAGAACTAATTTTCTATCTTCTTTCCCTTACCTTAATTTAGGCAGCTGTCCAGATTTTCGCCTCCCTTTCACCTCCAGTCTCTTTATCTTTATTTGTTGTGCGGTTATTATGCTTTGATCTAGAATTTGAAGTGAGTCATCCATATGACACGAAAAGCACATTATGTAACAACAGTAGAAAGAAAGTAAGAGAAGGAAATTAAGGGCTTCAAGTGGCAGAAGGGTTGCAGCCTAAGACAATGGGTAACACAATAGGGGGTTTAGTTGTTTAGTCATGAGAAACATTAGTTTGGGCAGGTATAATGTGGTTCTTGGTCCATTTTCGTGCTTTAGGAAGGGAACACCGGAAGTTGTATTATTAAAGGATTATGAGGTTTATCGGCACTTTGGCCTTCTGATTGGTTTAGGTAGTTTATTTGGAGGAGAATGGCTAATAAATGGAATTAGGGCTATAGAGGGTAGCTGGGTTTGGTCCACAGGTCATGGTCTTAGCATCAGAAGCTAGGTGGAAGCGGAGGGGGTTAGTGTAGCATTGGTTGTTGTACGTGTCTTGGCCCTTGGGTATAGTTAATTAGTAGCCCTAAACCATTTTAATTGTTCTTTTTTTTTTTTTAAATTTGGAATAGTTGAGCATTGGCCCATCTGCCACAAGGTTAAATAAAACAAGAAAGTTTTCTTTGAGTTTCGTATACATCCAATAACATGACAATCTAGGTGAAGTGATTCCGGAGAACCTGTGGTGGCAGTGCTAACATTTGAACCATAGCGGAACACGAGTAACTGCCAGAAACCTGGAAGGTCTGGCTGGCTTACTACTATTCTCCCTTTAGGATTGATTGCCGGGAATGTTGAACTGTGATATGATCCTGTTTTAGCTTTAGTGAGTGGTTTTGATTTGTACATTAAGGTTTTAATGCTTCTTGAGCGTGTACCAATGCAATATTTAAAATTAACTCTGTTGGTGTGAGATTATTGGGAGCATGATTTTGATAAAAAGTTTGTAATTTCAAGTCTTGACCTTTCTAAGCCCCAAATGTCTAATAATTAGCAGACTGATATGCTTGTTTTGTCGGCCAGTGATTATATATTGATGTCATTAACCGCATCTATTCCTCTTACTTTTTCCTTTCTTTATAGTCTTGATTATGTTCCTTCATCGAAATTTTGAGCATTTACAATTGTGTAAGATCTTGTGTCTCCCTTTTCAGATGGGATATAATAGCAGAGAGGTTGGGCTTCATGCTGGTTTTTGGTGATCTAGTCTTTATACCGTTCACCTTCAGTATTCAGGCATGTACTACTAACCATTTCTTATTGCCACAAACAATTCTATCCTTGCTTAGATGAAATATGACACCTTTGATGTCAGTATAACACAATTTTGTATAGGATGTAACTGAATTCTCTTAAAAAACATAGTTTTGAGTTATCACTTATGAAAAACATAGTTTTGAGTTATCATGTACATTCTTCATTTCCTACTAAATGTAATGATGTCTAGTCTCGGCCATGCCAATACATTCACTTTCCTTGAATTTAATACCTCACCTCATGCTACAATATTTCAATGGGTCCCACGTTTACACTACTTGTTTGAATACCAGAAAAGTTTTTGGTTCTCTGTGTTTAGTTTAAAAGAATTTGAATCAGGGGCTTACTTATGAAAAAGAAAAAAGGAATTTATCTAGGGCCCTTTTAAAGAAACGAAATGGAAAAGGAGAAAAACATGTGCTTTTTTTTAATTTTTTTTTGGTGGGAAAACCTTGTTTTAAAACTGTTTTTTCCCTTTCCTGGAAAATGTTCTGAACAAATCTCGTATTTCATAAACAAAATGAATATTTCCATGTATTTCCAGAACTCAAGACATGAAGAACCTCTGTTGTTTAAAGAGCCAATTGACTCCTGCCCATAGATGTGAAATCATATGAAATAAGAGAGAATCTTGTTAACTTGATTGTAGATAATATACAAGAGGGGCTCCTTATATAGGAGTCTTAGTCTACTTATAATACTGTAAGCAATTATTCTCCCTGATTAATAAGACAAGCAATTATCTCCTCCATTAAATACAAAATAGTCTAAAATATCCTATAAATTTTTCTGCATAACATTCTTTACTCGAGTTCAATGGCCCTAAACATTTTGCAACCTATACAATCTAACATATAACTACATTGATTTTCTTGATTTTCAAGGGTAGCCAGAATGTTTTCCAATTTTCTGTTGGCCTGGCAGTTGATAATTCTGTTTGTTGTCCTCTTTCCCCGCTTCTATTGGTTCCTTCAACCGAGAGAGAGAGAGAGAGAGGCTACGATCTATGCAAATGAAGGCATACTTTTATACTCGGTTGTTTGAAGGTTGAAGTAAGAGTCTAATCTTAGAGAGAGAGGGGGGAAAGGAAGGGGGAGAGAGAGAGAGAGAGAGAGAGAGAGAGAGAGTATGGAAATAAAGGCTTGTTTTTGTCCTCTGTTGTATGCAGGTTGAAATAAGAGTCTAATCTTATGTTGTCATCTCTGCGGTGAATTGATGAGAACAAGGCTAGGAGATTTAGTGACAATTCCATGATTGTGATAGTCATGGTCAATTTCATGATTGTAGGTTGGATTGGTTAGGGGAAGGAGTCTGATGAGTTTGTGTTCGGATACAAGCACGATAGTGTGCTCTGCTGTGTGTCAAATTGTATTTTGGACAAGTTTGGCTGTGTGAGCAAGGAAGTGTAAAGAGGAGTAATGAATTCATTCTATTGAGAAAAAGGGCTAATCGTATATAGGATTGGGAGGTCTCCATTTTAGTGCAGCCAAAACCTAAGTAGTATATATTTAGAGACAAATGGCATACAAGAGTAACAAACGGATACGATGAAGCTTATTCTGGTTTTCAAGTGGGGTTTTATTATGTATCTATTCATTTTCAGGGTTGGTGGCTTTTGAGTAACAAAGTGGAGCTAACAACAGCAGCAGTAATTGCCAATTGCCTCGTCTTTCTTATTGGGTAAATGTATCCAGCATGCAAGGACCTCTAAATACTACTATTATTTTTTTTCCTGCTATCTGTGTGATTGCCCTTTCTTTATGTCATTCAGACATTATTCTTTTTTGCTTTCACTTTACTGTTTCTTGATATGGGCCCTGTTTCGTATTGGAAGGTACTTAGTGTTCAGAGGTGCCAACAAGCAGAAGCATATGTTTAAAAAGAATCCCAAGGCACCCATATGGGGTAAGCCTCCAAAAGTTATTGGGGGGAAGTTGCTCGCTTCTGGCTATTGGTAAGCTTCTTGATGTTTCTTTTTCTACTCTCCTCGTTATCTTAATTCTCCAGAACACAAAATGACTTAATACTGAGAAACTTTATATTTGTTAATTTAGTATTTAGCATGTGGGCAAGCTTTTGGAAAAGCACATAAACTATGTCAATAAAGTGGACAAGCGTAATCTGATAAAACTGTCAGAAGTCTATCTTGCGCAATCCTCATCTCGTGAGCTAGCTTTTGGGGGTGAGTTAGGCTCAAAGTCTGTTTTCTTGTCATGGTATCTGAGCTAGACCCATCCAAATTCTTGGTTTACCCGATTTTGGGCCCCATATTATGTTGTCCATGATCCAATTGGCTGGCAGACTTGGGGTGTTTGGGGGGGGGGGGGGGGGGGGAAGATGTCCCACATCAGTTGTGGGATGCATGTGAAATTGGTCTCTTTATATGGTCTTGGACATTCCTCACCTCTTGAGCTAGCTTTTGGGATTGAATTAGGCTCAAGGTCAATATCTTCATCATGTGCAATTCAACGAAAATATTAAGAGAAAAATAAATAGTGGATAGAAAAGAACTTACTACAGTAGATGAAAAGAGTTAATTACTACTCCATAAGAAATGCTAAATATCGACATCCCTAGAGTGTTCCATTTTTCAGACATATTTTACTTTTTGAGGTCTCAATTTAAAATCAATTTCAAATAATTCAGATCTGACAACGGCGCTAGAAAAATTAAAACTCTTATGAATTCTTTCTTTTTTAATGATTATGTTTTCATGATATTCATTTTTTTTAATTATAAAGTCCTAATCAAAATATTAAATGTTTGAACATCAAGCCAAATTGATCTCATAAATTCAGAAAGAGGAAGTAATTTCTTTTGGATTTTGTCTGAAACAGTGATCTACAATGTAAAGCAAAAGGTTTGAGTGCTATTTAGTGAAACAGTAGCGGTTAATATTGCCACATCAGGTCTAAATATAGTCTGCATAGTGCGTACCCTGGTTATAGCATGGCTTCTGAAGTTCATCACATGAGGCATGGGGTAGCAAAAATGGCAGATTAAAATTTTCAGTTCTTCATTTTCGAAATTCTAAATCATTCTATATTTACTGAAGGGGCATTGCTCGACACTGTAATTACCTTGGAGATTTGTTGCTGGCATTGTCATTTAGTTTGCCTTGTGGGATAAGGTAATGTGTTTGAACTCATGCAAATTCTTTCTATGCTTGTTTGCTCAGTAATAAAAATAGTCACCTTCACTTGTGTATGGCTGCAGTTCCGCGGTTCCATACTTTTACCCCATATACCTTCTTATTCTGCTAATATGGAGGGAGAGAAGGGATGAAGCTCGATGTGCAGAGAAGTACAAAGACGTGTGGACAGAATACCGTAAACTTGTTCCTTATAGGATCTTACCTTATGTTTACTAGCTAAACTGTTTGTCCATGTGGCTGTGCATTACCACCAAGCAGGAAAAGAGACAAGCGCAGGAAAGGATATTAAATCAAAATGGGGCTATCGCCCTATCTAAGCAGCTTTCTCCTCCGGAAGTAATCTTTTTATCTATTTCAGTGGATGAGCATCGAATATTTGTTGTAGCTGCGTGCAAGATTATTCAATGATCTCCTGAACCAGCTTGTACACTTGATGTACTTTATAATGGCAGGCTTTAGATTAAAAACTATGTGCTTCTTGTAATAAATGCCAACCATGAAAGTACTTCACATTGTTTGTGATTTTGGCTCCTGATAAGAATCCTTTTGGAAGACTGCCGCGCCTCCACTATCCCACCGGATAAACCAGAGCCCCAAGCTCGAAAAAATTGGTCTGAGACTAGTAAACACTTGCTATTTTTGGCTTTTATCAAAGTCACTGGCAAGTATCTGTTTGTGCTGCAGAAATAGGGCCTTTGCTACTTGGTTGCTTATCTCCATTGTTCCTTGAGCCGAGGGTGTCACGACCCGGATTTCCCACCCTCGGGAGTCGTGATGGCACCTACTAATGTGAGCTAGGCAAGCCAATTATTTGAACAATTTACCTTTTTACCCATTTTATATTCTTTAACAATTACGAAGAAATAACATTTTTACAGTGGAATTTAACATAAGCGGAAGAAAAACAATAAGCTATCTGAACATGAATATCTAATACAACTGTTTGAGTCTCGACTACCCAAAACTGGTGTCACAGTTTCACAGACGGTCTAAGAATACAACAAATAAAGGTCTGAAAGAAATAAATACAACACTGTCTCTGGAATTGCATGAAAGAAACAGGAATAGTAGATAGAAGGAGACGCCAAGGCCTGCGGACGCCTGCAGGACTACCTCGGGTCGCCTGATGAACAAGAATCAGCAATCACACTGCGGTCCGAAGTCTACAACATTGGGTTCTGCACAAAAGAGTGCAGAGTGTAGTATCAGCACAACCGATCCCATGTGCTGGTAAGTGCCTAGCCTAACCTCGGCGAAGTAGTGACGAGGCTAGGACCGGACTACCAAATAAACCTGTGCAATTTAACTATATACAGCAGAAAAAAAGTACAGAAAGAAACAGTCATATACAGTCAAGTATGGGAGGGGGAAGACATGCTGGGGAAACATCGAATAGTAACAGAAGAGCAACAAATAAATACGAGGATCACCACAGTTCAATTGAAAATAGGAAGGGGAAATCATGCTGCGGGGTACAACAAGTATCAACAGGAAACTAGCAATTTGGTGTAGAGAAACCGTAACACAGTTATCAAAAAAAAATTAGGAAATCAAAGACAAGTACACGACATCACCCTTCGTGCTTTTACTCTCTCTCACCAAAACAATACACGGCATCACCCTTCGTGCTTTAACACTATCTCACCAAAACAATACACAACATCACCCTTCGTGCTTTACGCTCTTCCTCACCCAAACAACAATCACAAGGCAAATAGGGTAAGGGAATCTATAACCTCGAAATAAAATCAAGTAACAACAGAAAATCAGTAAATAAACGTAAAGGACAACATAACTCAATTATCAACAAGAATCAGGGAAATCAAGGACAAGTGCACGGCATCACCCTTCGTGCTTTTTACTCTCGTTCTCACCATAAAAATATACAATAGGCACGGAATGGTACATCATGCGGCACGGCATCACCCTCCGTGCTTTACACTCTTTCCTCACCATGAAATCAATATAATAGGCATGGAATGGTACATCGTGCGGCACGGCATCACCCTTCGTGTTTTACACTCTTTCCTCACAAAACAAACAATGCACGGCATCACCCTTCGTGCTTTAACTCTCTTCCTCACCCAAACAACAATCACAAACAATAGGGCAAGGAAATAAAGGAAATTTGCAATAAGAATCCCGGCAAGGGAGCAACAAGTCAACGATTAAATCTCGACAAGGGAACAACATCAATAGCATCAACATCCCGGCAAGGGAGATAACAAATAAATCAACAATAGCCCGGCAAGGGTGACAACATAATGATCTCTTCTCTTTCTCACTTTTACTTCACAATTCACTTCACAACTCGAGCCAATGCTCTAGAGGTTCAATTATCACTTATACATTCGCAACTCATTTCACAACTCGAGCCAATGCTCTAAAAGTTCAATTGACACTTATACTTTCACAATTCGTTATACAACTTGAGCCAACGCTCCTCAATGTTCATAGGTCACAATTCTTTCCACAAACTTTATACAACAAATAGAAACCATCACCAAGGCATGAAAGACACAACGATTTCATGATAATCACAATATAAAGACTCACGGGCATGCTAGACACCAACATATAGATACTCGTCACCATGCCTATACGTCGTACTCAATAATTATCACATAGCAAATAGGACTCAACTCCTAATCCCTCAAGCTAAGGTTAGACCAAACACTTTCCTCGATGCCACGAACACAATTCACGATTCAATTATAGCTTTACCCCTTGATTCCACCACCAATTCGCTTGTATCTAGTCACAAGTTACTTAATTACATCAATAAACGCTAAATGGATCAATTTGAATGCATGAAAACGGATTTTCCAAAGTTTTACCCAAAAAGTCAAAATCGCCCCCGGGCCCACATGGTCAAAACTGAGGTTCGAACCAAAACCCGATTACCCATTCCCCTACGAACTCAAATATATAATTTGTTTTGAAATCGGACCTCAAATCGAGGTCCAAATCCCCAATTTTTGAAAAACTTAGGTTATACCCAAAACACCCAATTTCCCCCATGAAAATCATTGATTTTGAGTTGAAATCATGCTAAAAGATGTTAAGGAGTGACGAAAATGAGTTAGAAATCACTTACCAACATTTTGGAGAAGAAAGGTTGTTTGAAAAATCGCCTCTTATGTTTTTGGGGTTTTGAAAAATGAAAAATAACTGAAAATCCCGTCTAAATATACTATTCTCAGATGCCCTGTGCGGACCGCACAAAATCAACTGCGGCCGCACAACACTACTTGTGTTCTGCGGTGACATGTCTTAGTATTTTGGCCATAACTTTCTCTACAGAAGTCCAAATGCCTATTATAATATGTTTCTGAAAACGAGATTCAAAGGTATACAATTTTTGTTTTTAAATCATCCCCAAATTCCTTGTAGATCAAAAGATATGAGCTTCCGAAGTCGGACCAGTGAATCTGTGCGAACCGTCACCAGTGCGGACAGCACAAAAACTACTGCGGTCAGCACTGTGGGTTCAGAGGTTTGCACTTCTCTGAACCTGCAACATCCATGTTTTTAAGCCTAAGACATCCCGGGACCTACCCGAAACTCACCCGAGCCCTCGGAACTCCAAACCAAGTGCACACAAAACCTCAAAAATATCCCACGGACTTATTCGTGTAATCAAATCGCCAAAATATCCTCAATAACAACGAATTAAACCTCAAAATCAAAGAATTTTCTCAAACTTCTCAAAACATCAATTTTTTTGCAATTTAAGTCTGAATCACGTCAAATGACATTCGTTTTTCACCAACTTCCACAGAAACGTCTTAAATCATATATAAGACATGTACTGGGCGCCGGAACCAAAATACGGGCCCGATACCATCATGTTCTAAGCAAAATTCAATTCAAATTCCTTTAAACAGTTTCAGAAAACAATTTTCTTTAAAAATTCATTTCTCGGTCCTGGGACCTCGGAATCCGATGGGCATACGCCCAAGTCCTATATTTTTCTACGGACCCTCCGGGACCGTTAAATTACGAGTCCGGGTCCGTTTACCCAAAACGTTGACCGAAGTCACATTTATTCATTTTACAGTCAAAACTTATCATTTTTTTCACAGATTTTCACATTTAAGCTTTCCGGCTACGCGCCCGGACTGCACATGCAAATCGAGGTGATGATAAGGGAGGTTTTTTAAGGCCTCGGAACGTAGAATTTCATTGCAACACAAGTGATGACCTTTTGGGTCATCACAGAGGGTCTATCGGAAACAACCACGGGGTAAGGTCTGCGTACACACTACCCTCCCAAAACCCATTTATGGGACTACACTGGGTTTGTTGTTGTATTATTATATGTTCCTGATGTTTTTAGAATAGCTAAATTTTTAGTAGCATGCTTCCAACTTCCCAGTTTTCTACAATTGTGCTCAAGATGCAAAATTGTATCATTCTCTTAAGCTACTACATATTGAAGCAAATTTCACTATGTAACACTGTAAAACTTAAGATGATACATAAAACGTTTATATTGTTAAGCAATGAGTGAATGAGATGAACTTCCTACATAATGTGGATCATTTGGTGGATAAATTTAATGTGAATGATCTTAATGAAGATTATGCTTAATGAAGTTCATATCCAAATCTTAAATTTGAAATATTTTGCGGTTGCAGTCTCTTTCCAGACCTCATTTAAAAGAAAATAAGAAAAAGTTCTAGATATGATCATTTCATCAAAATAATTGAAAACAATATAATACTCTAATCATTAGGGAAACTAGGTTGATACCTAGAGGCGGATCAAGGATTTTAACGGGACAGAAGCACTAATATTCTGTTCAATCAGTGCCTCCTTAAAGGCTTTTATTGTTTAGGGTGTCAAGTAATTTAAATTAACTATTTTTAAGGTACATATATATTAGAGATTTTTATCGAAATTCATGGAGTTCGATGATACTCAAGGTTACACATAGATCCGCCTCTATTGATCCCTGCTTCAACCTTTATTTTTTAATTTTCCATGACTAACATATAACCAATAGGATCTTATTTATTTAAACAATTCTAGGACTCTTGAGTAGAATAGAAACAACATACAATTGAAGAAGAGTATAAAATATTCGTATCAAACACGATTATTGTCAGCGTCATTTTGTACCTTAGTACTGTCTTTTTTTCCTTCCTATATCTCAATTATTTTATCGAATATATGTTACTTCACACCACCACACGTAATGTGTTGTTATGAATGCTTTGCTACGTGTGAATTTCAAAGAATGCAATCTTTAACCTATACTCACTAATTAGATTAAAGTCCTTTAAAATAATATACTCGATCGGTTCTCGTCTTTATATGCTTAGCTGCTTTTGAATTTCTATGAATTCTTATATATATTCTAATCTTTGTGTGTGAGGCGATCCGGATCCGGCTCCGGCTCCATCCTACGGCGTCAGGCTTGGGCCATGGCAGGCGAAAATATAGGCACGACGGGCGGAATTCCAGTTTAATTGCCGTGAAATACCAAAAAATATAATTTGGTCATGGCGAGACGGTGACTATGGTTTCTTAGGTCGTATTTGATGTAC